CAGACGTTATTTACCCGAGATATTCAAAAAAATCATCAAAAAAGTTTTGATTTTCGAACCGACCCCGATTTTGATAAAAACGTGATGTAACCCCTTGCCATTTTGGTCGATTTGGGTCAAAATTTAGATGTTCATTGTCTTGATGACAGTCAATAGTACTGATCCTTACGAGTCCAAAATGGTATAAAATTCCACAATCGGACATTATTTGGCCCAGATATTCAAAAAAATCATCAAGAAAGGGTGACTTTACAAACGAATCGTTTTTAGGTCTACAACTTTTATCAACCCACCGATTTTTAATTTGTTTGAATGCCAATTGATAGTAGGGATCTGTACGAATTCAAAAAGGTGTAATATTTGAAAATCAGACGTTATTTACCCGAGATATTCAAAAAAAATCATCAAAAATGTTTTGATTTGCGATCCGACCCCGATTTTGATAAAAAAACGTGATGTAACCCCTTGCTATTTTGGTCGATTTGGGTCAAAATTTAGATGTTCATTGTCTTGATGACAGTCAATAGTACTGATCCTTACGAGTCCAAAATGGTATAAAATTCCACAATCGGACATTATTTGGCCCAGATATTCAAAAAAATCATCAAGAAAGGGTGACTTTACACACGAATCGTTTTTGGGTTCGCAACTTTTTTAACCTACCGATTTTTGTCAATAACTTTTTAAAACCATCGATTTTTAAAATGTCTGACCGTCAACTGATAGTTCTGATCCCTACGAGTCCAAAACGGTACAAAATTTCAAAATCAGACAATATTAACCCAAAATATTCAAAATAATCATCGAACCGAGCCCGATTTTGAGAAAAAACGTACCCTCAAATATCATATATGGACATAGATCAAATTTTCCCACTCCCATAACTCGGTCAAATCTTATCCGGTTTTTTACGAGGTCAGGCTCTTTGATTATGGTTTGGCCTCTTGATCACTTAAGCATCTAAATCTGGCAGCATTTTTGTTGGTCAAAATTCATGGAGAAATAGTACGCTAAAATTATTTTGTGTACTCACCTTAATCATCCCTATAAAACTACTTGTTGTTTGCGAATTGATCACAATTAACAAATGTACTTGTTGGTCCAGCAAATGTAATTACTCTGCTTATTAGTATTGTTCCGGCACTGCCATCTCTCTTCCTCTTAGATGTGGTCGTCTTACATTCTTTTCAATACGTAAATACATATTAATACGCAGCTCCATGCCGGACCAGCTTGCAACGACAACTGAAGTCCAACTGCGAAGCGCTGCTCCATTTATACTGTTGACTCTTCTTCTTTCAATCGTAGCATTTGGTCCAGCAGATGTGAACACTTTCTACTCTCCTTATTAGTTATGTTCCTGCACTGCCATCACGCTTCGTGTCACATGTGGCCTGCTTTGATATTCTTCAACACGTAAATTCATATTAATACGCAGCTCCTTGCCAGACCAGCTTGCAACGTCAACTGAAGTCCAACTGCAAAGCGCTGCTCAATTTATACTGTTGACTCTTCTTCTTTCAATCATAGCCGTTGGTCCAGCAGATGTGAACACTCTCTACTCTCCTTATTAGTTATGTTCCTGCACTGCCATCTCTCTTCCTCTTACATGTGGTCGTCTTACATTCTTTTCAACACATAAATTCATATTAATTAATACGCAGCTCCTTGCCAGGCCAGCTTGCAACGTCAACTGAAGTCCAACTGCAAAGCGCTGCTCCATTTATACTGTTGACTCTTCTTCTTTCAATCGTAGCCGTTGGTCCAGCAGATGTGATCACTCTCTACTCTCCTTATTAGTTATGTTCCTGCACTGCCATCTCTCTTCCTCTTACATGTGGTCGTCTTACATTCTTTTCAACACATAAATTCATATTAATTAATACGCAGCTCCTTGCCAGGCCAGCTTGCAACGTCAACTGAAGTCCAACTGCAAAGCGCTGCTCAATTTATACTGTTGACTCTTCTTCTTTCAATCATAGCCGTTGGTCCAGCAGATGTGAACACTCTCTACTCTCCTTATTAGTTATGTTCCTGCACTGCCATCTCTCTTCCTCTTACATGTGGTCGTCTTACATTCTTTTCAACACATAAATTCATATTAATTAATACGCAGCTCCTTGCCAGGCCAGCTTGCAACGTCAACTGAAGTCCAACTGCAAAGCGCTGCTCCATTTATACTGTTGACTCTTCTTCTTTCAATCGTAGCCGTTGGTCCAGCAGATGTGATCACTCTTTACTCTCCTTATTAGTTATGTTCCTGCACTGCCATCGCTCTTCCTCTTACATGTGATCGTCTTACATTCTCTTCACGACGTAAATTCATATTAATACGCGGCACCTTGCCAGGCCAGCTTGCAACGTCAACTGAAGTCCAACTGCGAAGCGCTGCTCTATTTATACTGTTGACTCTTCTTCTTTCAATCGTAGCCGTTGGTCCAGCAGATGTGAACACTCTCTACTCTCTTTATTAGTTATGTTCCCGCACTGCCATTTCTCTTCCTCTTACATGTGGTCTTATAAATATATGAATCGAGTTGAGCATATAGCGTATTCTTAATTGAGTTACTTTAACTCTCTTAATAATTATTAGTTGTCCTTTAAAATATATAAATAATTGTGCCAAGCGTAAATTATGTAAATATATATGTACATATAGTTTTTTCTCTTTACCACGAGGTGGGCAAAGCAATAAAAATTTAATACTTGCTGAGTGAGACTGTAAATGGCAGAGACCAAATTATAGAGTACAAATAAGCTCATTAATGAAAATACGTGAACTTCTTTACGCATTTTAAATCTACAACTACATGCTCACAGATAATAATAGAGGGTTATTGATTAAACTTGAGCATACGGAAATTTTCTTAATAGCGTACTACTCTGAAGAACCTGATAACTAAGTGGACAATTAAAAGGCATTTAAATTGGCATTGTTTTATTTGCTTATTTTAGTTTACCTTCCAAGCGAAGTTATATGTACTTGGGTTCCAAGTAACCCAACTTTTTTGCTTCAGCTAGTAGGGAAATTATACCAACCAAAGCCTCTTCGGCATTAGGTATTATGAAGGCAGGTGGTAAAACAAACCCGAAATTCCCGGTGTCACGAAACTCAATGGTGTAGGATATTTTGACATCCTGTTCGTTGTATGCCCAATCGCTGGTGGTGCCTGAGGCGGGATCTAAAATTTAATCGTATTATTATATTGCCGAATAACTATATGTATTTTTAAATAACTTACAGAGAATGCCAGCTGACGAGCCGTATCTATACACTGTACCATAGGGCAGATCCTTAACTGTATCGCTATAGGCCTTGGCAACTTGCATTAGGTCATCATAGTTCTCCGGGACCTCGTCTTTGGTATGCCCATAAGGTGATAACAAGAGTTGACTATAGGAGTGAAAGGCTATCATAATATTCAGTTTATCCTTGATGCTGGCCACGAAATCCGACAAGGCCTTTGTCTCCGGCTCCGAGAATGCATGCGGCCCAGCGTAGGCTTCATTGCAGGGATCCGACGAAGCGCCGCCATTCTCCATCCAATGCGAGTCGTAGTTGCGATTCGGATCAACGCCAATGCACTGGGAAATGTTCGATGGTTGACGTGTCTTACGCCACAAACGATCCTGTGTACAAATTGGTAAAGTAAATATCTTCACTCATGATTCAATTTTACTAACTTTTTCGTGAGTGTAGACAAACCCATCTACATTTAGTACCGGCACAATATACCAGTCATGGCTTTCGGCCAAATCCCGCACCAGATCATCGCTAGAGCTGAGTAGCTCATTGATCAACCACGTGGCCGTGGCCGAGGTTATCCATTCGCGCGCATGTATATTGGATTCGATGAAGACTCCCGGATTTCCTGCTTTGTATGAGATCTTTATGCCGCGTATGGCACGACCCTCATATGATTTTCCGATCACAAACCCTTCAGTAACAACCGGATAGGCAGCGAGTATTTCATCCAGCCAAGCATCAATTTCAGCCAAGCTATTATAACGTGTCCAACCGAACTTATCAGACGCCCTCGTATCCGCTTCCTTCTCTTGATCAATCAAACTAAAAAGTAATATTAAAAAATGCATATAAAAATCTCATTTAAATCCCAAGTTCTTTTCTACTTACTCCTGCACATTTGCAATAAGGATCTCCGCACTAGCATTTATTAGTTTTAACGTTTCCTCGAAAAGTGGCAATGCATTTGGCGTGACCATCAAATTATACTCCGAACTATCCTCGTGCCACAATCTGAACTATAAAAATATTGGAGTATCTTGCTCATATTTATTTAAATACTTTCAAATAAATATTTAAAATTTGAATACTTACACTCTGATATATTTTTGTTAAATCGAGCAACTTTTGTCGTTGCATTGGGGTTTCGTACTTAATTTTAAAAACCTTGTAGTTATCATAGCGCACTTTTTGTTCAATTTCTGGTTTTTGAAAAAGACTTGCCGCATTGGTTGTGATCACAAAAAAGATTACAGCACATAACGCGTATAGCCTCATGTTTGCCGCTTGGAGTTTGTTGGCCAACTGAAATATTTCTAGAAGTTCGGCTAGCAGTTGGGTAAAAAATGTCAAGCCATAAAGATTATGATTAAAGAATTTACTAATCGGTAGTACTTATTGCAATGATAACAATTTCTCAACAATTTTCATTTAATTTACTAATTAGGAATACCCTGTACATTTTTGCACAGTTAATAAATGTTATTCAATTTGGGAAGTACTTCACTTACTGAAAGTACTTAAGAAGCTTACCTGGGATATAGTTGATAGAAGTTCCAAATTTATGGAGTTCATGATCGATCCGATTTTGGCAATTGTGATATGAAAACCTGTTACCACTTTTTTAGATTTTTTTTAAATTTAGAATTTTTTTTGTTATAGTCGATAGTCATAATCCGAAAATTGTACGTTATTTTTGCGATGTATATGCATTAGTTTAAGAAATAAATGAATGCTAAATAAACAATTAATAATGCACATTATTTTATTGAACATTTATTGAGCTCCACTTAAAGGGTGTGGTATTCATGTCACTGCTTTGAATTCTAGCAAATTAGAGGATGAACAACTGCATATTACTTGTCCTTTTTGCATCCTTCACCACAATCGGTGCCTTCACAAATGTCACACAGTGAGGACTTCACATGATAGTACTCAGTGGCACGGCGATCCGTCTCGTAGTAGTCGTAGAGGGAAACGGCGGCAGGCTTTTGTTTGGCTACCGAATGCGCCCGGACGCCTTCCACAGGTAAACACTTCACATCACCCGGTGTCAAGCTATCGAAGTAGACAATCACCGTGGAATCCGCGTTCTTTGATTCGATGCGCTTTACTCGATCAACCGCTTGAATTTTCTCAAAGCTATCCGTGTCGCCAACATAACCCGAAGGCAAAGCTATTTCCATAACAACCATGTTAGAGTCCTTCTGCTGGTCGTTCATTTCGAGTGGCACGTATTCGGCGCACACCTCCAGACTCAGTTGCTGCAGGGGAGTATCCTTCACAGTAGGCGTCACCTTGAAACTGGGCTTCTTATCCTTCTCAGCCAGATTATATCTGTAGGACAATTGAACCATTGACGACCCCTGACCCTTGGCAGTGAAGTTAACATTACGTGTCATCTTGGGCAAGACATGGCTCTGGAGTACCAGTGAATTTTCTGGATTCACTTTAATATTGCCCTTGCTGTCATTATCCGAAACGAAATCAATGTCAATCGTACCCGTACCAGATCCGGTCTTGGAGGCAAAGTTTGTCAGGGCTTGCAGTCCGATGACTGTGTCCTGCGTGGAGGTGAAGCCACCATTGCTGTTCCGCTGGGCGATCAGCCACTTAATTATTGGCAGCTGGGCATCTGCTGGTTCTTCATCCAATAAAGCCATCAACACATAAGAGGTTATTTCGACATCATTGCTGCTGGGACGCGAATAGGTTAAGCCACCATCGGCAGTACGGGGCTTTTCGGAAGCCTTGGACCACCACTTGCGACCATCCTCCTGTTTTGCGACGCTCTGAAGCTTGGCCAAGACTTTCTTTGCCTGCGGATGCTTGGCTAACTGCAGGGCAACCGCCGAAATCGATAGGGAATATTGATCCGCTGTCTTGTCCACCTCTTGAGCAACGTACTGCAGAGCCTTGTCAATGGTCTCTTGATACTTTGATATGACTTCCTGCAAATCGTGGAGTTTAGTAATGCTAAGACTTTCAGACGATCAAGGATTTACTTACTTCGTTTTCGAAGAACGCGATCAGCACGAAGGAGGTGAGTCCCAAGGCATTCTGATTGGCATTGTCAAACAACTTGCCCACCTCGGGGAACTCGCCGTTATCCTTCTGCTTAGAGGCAAGGAAGTCCAGCCCCTGCACAATAACCTTGGGATCGACATCCGTGTATTTAGCGGCCTGGTGGAAGGAGCGCACAACATAAGCCGTTAACCAGGTGCTACCCGAAGGATCCGATTTGCCAAAGGCGCTGTAGGAGCCATCATCGTGCTTATAGGTAAGTTCACGCTGGTAACCGATTTCGAGGAACTTCTTCGCCTTGGCGACAATGTTGGGCATTTTTCGATCCGTCACATCCAGATATTTGACCACCAAAATATTTGGTACAAAGTTGACCATGTTCTGCTCCCCACAGCCATAGGGCATTCGCACCAAGTTATCCAAGTTCTTAATAGTGGGACCAAGCAGATCCCCAACCACCGAGAACTCTATAAATTCAGAGTCTTCAACGGCTTCGGTGGGTATAATCACCTTCAGTTCTTGACTCATTTCGGATTGGTTCTTGAAATTGACGAAAACAGCCTTATTCCCGAACTGCGTAACGCCCTCCGGTTCCACCTTCAATTTCTGATGAATCGCATCGCCCGCCAGTGGAGTTGTAGCTGTGATCTTCAAGGTGATCGATCCCACTTTCTTGGGGCGTATCATAAAGGAGACGCTCTGACCATTGTTCGAGGGTATGGTAATGCGCTTCACGCGTTTTATTTCATCTATTGTCTTTTCCTCAACCTCGTTGGTAGCCTCTGTGAATTCGAACTCCTTGTCTGAATTGTCCATTGTGACCTCAGCGTCGAGCGCTTTATCCATATAGTTGAAAACAATTACGGGTACGGCAATTACCTCTCCTGTAAAAATGATGAGATTATTATATATCATACTTGCGACTATCCCTGTACGGTGCTTACCGCGCTTTACAGAATACGGAAGATTGGTGGAGACAAAGAAGGGCTGGAACACTCGAATTTTGCTTGGAGTCGGGGTTAGAGCAAATCCAGTGACTGGGTTCAATGAGAAACCAGTTACAACCCACGAAGTGATGGTATCCGGTATCTTTTTGGTCAAAGTAAAGCCTTCTGCATCCGTGCTGTTTCAAGGAAATTAAATAACAGAGAAAGTTCCATTCAGATATCTACTTCCGTATTTAGCACAGACATAAAGCACATAAAGGGTTAACTATTCGTATTTCTTCTGTTAGCAATGAATGTTATAAATGAAAAATTAACCAAACACATATGATACAAAGCATTATAATAGTATATGTGATGATTGTTAGATTTTTTGTACTGTTGTTTATGTGAAATAATTGTGTACGTTTTCGTAAAAATTCCTTGAAATATCCAAGTTTCCAAAAATATTTCGCGTATGGCAGACAATTTTGGGTTCGTTCCCTCTTTGGAAATGTTTTCAGTATCAATTGGCTTTTGTGTGGTCTTTCGTATTTTGTTGGCACTCTGCCTTTCCCCACTGACTTTCATTATTGGTATGAAACCCGCGTCCAGTTTCTTAATATTGTTTACTTTAAATGCAGATAAAATGTTTAATTAGTTCGTTAGTAATTAATTATAGTTCTGTGTAAATTCATGTAAATTTTGTGTGTGTTATTTAATAGAAAATTAGCTGAAATCGCAGCCCATTATACCTTTGGCAAACTAATTTCTAATTAGTGTAAATGCAAAAGTTACGTTATGTTGTTTAGAAAAATCCAAGTTTCGGGGAATTCTTTGCGAATTTGGGGGGCTGCTGCGGGACCTGGAGGTACCGACCCAGAATGAGGCGGCCACGGCAAAGGTCCTGGACGGCCTGGAGCTCCCAGAGCCAAAACCGAATCGGGGGATCCCGCGAGGGAACTCGGAATAGGTCGCAAATGATATTGAATCAATTCTAGGTACAAATTGATATTTTAAATCAGCAATGATAGCATATTCAAATCAAAACAAAAAAAAGGAATTTCTATTATTAAAATATAAGATATTTAGTGCTGGTTTTGGCGACCTTTCCATATTTTAATTATGGATATAAATGTATTTTTGTTAATCCGAAAATAGCCCTTTTTAATTTTACTATAAACATTATTATATTGGGTGAAGTGTTCGGTGCGATTTTACGATAACATTAGGAATTCATTTTCACAATTACGTTATGTTAACAGCAAATATCCAAGTTTCGGGAAATTCCTTGCGAATTTGAGGAGCAGCTGCGGCAGAAGAAGCACCTAATCCGGTGATTCCTATAAATTCTGTAGGCTGTACAGTGTTGCTATTAAGACTTGGGGGAATCATAACCCCATGTGAAGTGAAAACCCGATTCACTGGATGTCGCAACTTTCGCAATCCTAATGACAAATAGCTCATTTAAAAAACATGCATTTTGGGCTTTTGTTGAAATAAATATCCAACAAATACGTAATACTTAATCGTTAAAGGGTCTTAAATTTAGAACATATTTTAACCGACTACCATCACATCCATATAGTTTAAATAAAAGTTTCTAGAAAGTATTTATAATTTAATAGAGAAACACAGAACTGATAATAGCCCGCAAACCTGAAGACGAGTGCTTGACGAGAGATGATTTAAAAGGTCAGAACTGGAAGTGCAAAAATTGATTTCACAAATATGAACTGAACAACTTGCATACTTCTCGCTGTTTTCGAAAATCCAGCTTTCGGAAAACTCTTTACGTATTTGTATATTCTGGTCAGAAACGATATCAGTAGGAAATCCCACGCTATCTAGTTCAAGTGCAACATGGAATATATCTGCTAAAAACAAATCAAATGATTAATGTTGCCATGAAAAAAAGGCTATCCTATTAAATTGGCCTATTAGGAGAATACTTAGGCAATGTTATCTGCAAGCCCCTTAAAAAATGTGATTAATGTTAGTTTCAACGCTTATTCCATACAGATTTTAGTCTAGATATAACAGTTAGTTGTTGGCCCAAAAAAAAGTACTATGCAAGATTTTCACAATTACGTCAGTTTGTTAACAAATATCCAGGTTTCAGGAAATTCTTTGCGAATTTCAGGTAGCACCGTAGGAGCAGCAACAGCTCCTGCAAATCCTGCCCCAGAAAGTTTTTTGTTTATTGGCATAGGCGACCCAGCTGCCATCGAGTACAGCACAATCCCAGGTCTAAACAAAGGTAGGGCTTCGGCATAGAATACGCGACCTACATGCAATTGGTTGGTTTTAGTAAAACTTAAAATAAAGATGATTTAGGCTGACCCAGACAATGACATAAGCGAAAAAGAATCTAAACTGAAGACAATAACAATTAAAAAGAAAAATCAATATCGTACTTTTTGACAATATCAAATATCCAGCTTTCCGGAAACTCTGCACGTACTTGTATCTTCTCATCAAAGGCAATTGTGTCTGCATGATTCACCTTGACACTTAATAAATATGCATCGTAGAAGTAATCCTCTTCTTAAAATATATATAACCATATAGCACTATAGTAAATACTAAGGTTAGACCTCGTAAGCTGAGCGATAAAGAACACAACCTTAGTTGACCAAATCGGGAGCATATTAATTGTGTTTGTAGGTGAAGTCGCAAGCTAATTGTTACTTGGTTTAATACTTGATTATTACGTGCGCTTCATGCTTTAGGACTTAAGGCATCAAACCCACCTCAAATTGGCCGAATGCCAAATCCAAAGCTCAGCGAAATTATCGCGTACCAATTCAATTTGATGGGCTGTCGAGGAATCTATTTCATCTCTGGCAACAAAACCATCGCCATCATCATCTAATTCAGCTTCTTCTAGGTATATTGGATAAGTATCAAACATGCCGTCAACCGCATCGTATGAACGTGTTGCTAAAAATCGTATACCAAGAAATAAGTTCTAGCCCTAACAGAAGTCTCCTCGTCTCTTTACAACCTCTATTAATTGAGCTATATTTTCTTGTTCCGCTTTTATGCCCCATTAACTTACCGAAATTATAGGGATAATTGGCATTTGTGAGTGTTACCAAACCGGAAGACTGTCCTGGATACCGACCATAGCCCTGCTGCCAGGGCGTAGATGTTTTGTACTTGTTGAGGCTATTAAAGACATCATCCCGAGCCAAATCATTGCCCGACTTCAGCAATAGAACACTCTGATCCACGCCAAGTAGACCAACATACGAGTCGGCATCAGTTTTGATTTGCAGTTTGACCTCCTCGCTGGGCTTGGCATCCAGAGGAGCAGAAATCTCAATCTGTGCAAAGTAATCTTTATTGTATTTCCGAGCAGGACGATTTCTGTTCTGTCTACATACCGAGTTCTCGAAATCCTTATCGAAATCTATTGTCTGCTCTTCGAAGCGCAGCTCGTTGTTAAAGATGTAATACACATAGATCGAGGACTGTGGCACCATGGCAAAGCTGGGCGTAAACTTCACGGTGTAGCTCTTGCGACCTTCTGGTACCTGGACATGTTCGGATTTTACAATATTTCCACGGGCGACAATCGCGTAGACGAAGTACGGAATATGTTCGTTTGACTGCACATCGAAGGAAACCTCGTTGCCAAGCTTAGGACTAAAAGACAAATTATTATGTTAGATTTGTTTAAATAGAAAATCTCTTGAACACTTACGTTTTTGAGTTAACTTGAATCTTAAGCGGTTCAGATGATTCGTTAGTCGGTTGAAACTTGTTTATGGAGCCCAGGTAAGTGCCGGAGTCCGCGTAGAATCCTCTGACACTCAAATAGCGATTCTCGCTTTCGGGCAGGACAACATTAAATGTGGCAATACCGTGCTCGTTTAGAGGAGCTTCGAACTCAATGGTCTCGGGTGAAGGTGAAGAAATCGGATGTTTATCGAAAACGAAAAATCTTTGCGTCAAATCAAATGACAGTTTTGCCTTTTTCGTTGCATCTCGTACAGGTGAACCATCCAAATTTTTGACAACAAATTGATAGACAAACGCCTTGCCCGGATGATAATAGCGCACAGGATCGACGGCCTCAAGTTTGTGGCGCTGGGCGTGCAGGGTGACAACAGTTGATGCGTTCTGTTTGTTGCCCGTCAGATCCTCGGCAACCTCGGCAAAGATCTTCAAGGGCGGCGTATAACGTGAGTTGTATTGCGAGCCTTGGATTGGGAACTCGACATGACCCTTTCCATCGATATCGATGGTCTTCATCTGATTCACGTCGCTGTCGCCGGGTCTAAAGTAGCTGTAGTTCGGTTCAATGGAGACGGTTGCCTTGCCCTTCACCGGCTTGCCGTATGTGTACTTGGCCCGAATTGTGGCCTTAATGACACCATCTTGTACGGCCACATCCTTGGCTGATTCCACAATTACCTCGAATTTCGGCAGCACATACTTGGCCACCTCAAAGGACTTGGATTCCACAGTCTCGTCCGCCACATTGACAGCAATGCTCCACATGCCTAGCACCGGCTGCTCCGACAGCTGCAGCTCTCCGGCGTACACGCCCTTGGTCAACTGAACGTTCGTCAATTGCTTGATGCGATTCTGGGCTCCGTCCGTGATTGCAATCGTAATCGGCTTGTCGATGGTCGCAGGTCGTGTGTTCTCATCCAGAAATAGAACTCGGAACTGTACAAGATCCGACGGCTTATAGGTTGCCTTATCGGATTGTATAAATATTGATGGCTTGTTATCGGCATAGTTTAATTTGGTGGAATTTTCGAAGATAACGCCCTCAATTCCGGCTGCTGTCAAATTGTAATCTCCATTCACCAACTTTGGCACATCGAACTTAACGTTCGTCGTCGACATGGGCTGCAACTCCACCTGCTTTGTTTCATTATAGGATGGTCCAGTTATGCCCACCTTTATGATGCTCTTCCCCTCGGCCTTGTGCACGGATACGGCCACATTGTATTTAAAATTTGAGCGTATGGTGCCAGGTCCGATTACCGTGTACAGACTGAAAAATGCACATTTATTCATTAAAACTATAAATAATTCATTTATATTTTATACTTTACACATATACAAAGTGATTATAGTAAATAAGTAATTAACTATTTTTTTTCTCACTCTATGTCAATCAGAAACGAGAAATACGAGTTGTCTTCGGCCCGCCGAGTCAACCTATTCATAATGCTTTTCAGGAGCACAGAGAAAATAGTTAATGCCGAGTATGGCTAAGATATCTTGAAAGACAAAAAAGTTTTCCATGCAAGAGCCTACTTTTCGACCGATCGTTCCTATGGCAGCTATATGATATAGTGGTCCGATACAGCCGATTCCGACATATGTACTGCGTACAACAGAAAGAAGCACTTCTGCAAAGTTGCATAAAGGAAGCTTTAAAACTGAGAGACTAGTTCGCATAGAAACAGACAGACAGACAGACGGGCAGACGGACATGGCTATATCGACTCGGCTGTTAATGCTGATCAAGAATATATATACTTTATGGAGTCGGAGATGTCTCCTTCTATGCGTAACGCATTTCACGACAAAATTATAATACCCGCTGCAAAGGTAGAGATGCAGAGAATCTTAACCTCGCTCGCTTTCAATCAAGCATATTGAAGACATTCTTTTTGGTGTTGCTTCATTTTTTTCTGCGTAAACATGTCACGAGATAACGTAATGAGAAAGGTCTCGCTATGGAAAGTGTGCACACGCTTTACCTTTGACGCCTATCAAACCGGTTTTAAATATACAGTCATTAACATAGATAATCTCTCAGGAATATTTCTTGTAAAGCACTTTGCAGTGTATAAACGTATAAATAGATAAAAGTTCAGCAGCTCTTAAGTAATCAATAATATAAATAAAAAAAATAAATAGCGCAATGTAGCTGAGGTTTAGCCTAGGTTTTGTACATATTACTTACCCAGTGGCATTCACGAGTAGTCCCAATTGAAATACACAAAAACAAAAAACCAAAATTCGCGACATAATCGCGTATTTGGTTTTTTTTTTTAATGTCTTTTCGGCGAATTCAAAATAAATGGGGTCCGGGAAACTACGGTCAGGGGATCACTGCTGGTGCTTAAACAATTATAATTTAATGATGTACTATATATTCTTTATAGAATAGTGCTGTTGCACTACTATTGTTTTAGTTTTTTGTTCCCTATCAGCACACAATACACAAAAAAAAAAAAGCACAGCAAAACAAAGCCCAGCTTTAATTTGTTTAAGCGATCGCAACAAACGTTTCACAGTGAATCGGATGCCGCTCGGATCCACACTGAGCTCGCTCTGATGCGCAGCGGGCCTTAAGTATGATTTTGAGTGTTACACCAACACGGGCTACTGTTGTGTCTATGTATATGTACAAAATATTACAGTGCGTGCTGAGAAATTCCCCGATGTTTGGGACATATCTGTAAAATATCGGCATTTCTTTTACCAACGTCACAGATTTCACAGCTGAGACTCTTTTCTGCGTGTTTGTTTGTTTGTTTTAGTCGGGCTCAAATGAAGCGGACAGCCTTGTGGAGCAAAAGTCTTCAATTCCTCAGTGTTTGACGCAAATAAACAGATTAGTACCTACGAAAAAAAGAATTAATTAATCACATTATTAAATGGCTTACCCGAGAACAATGCTTCGTTTAAATTGTAGCAACTAAATACGTATTCAAACAGGAGTACAAATAATACATATAATAATAATGATAACAATAATAATAATTATAATAGTGAATAGACAGATTATTTGTAAGCAGGCAACATTTGACAAAATGTAAAAAGGTTTTAAAGTCAACGCCCATTTAACACTGCTTAGCGGAGACAACCACCATTGACGAAAGCTATTCCCAGTTAAGTATATTATACTCAATGGAAACAAGCTATAAATTCAACAATGTTTGGTGTCTCGTTCTAGCTTATTGCCAATTGCGCGTGACGTAATCTGTTTTTAACATTGTTAGAGCGAGTGAGATACAGTTACATCTGAATACACACAAATACAGATAAGCAATTAACTAATTATAAAATATATTATGATAGTTTTGGTTTCTTTATTAAAATATTCTACTGGGTTGTTGTGTGTGTTTGTATATGCGTGTGTATTTATATTATACAATTAAACAACTAAGAATATACATACATAATTTGTTATTTAATTGTTTTGCCCAATAGACAATTACAATATTAATAAATTTTGCTCCTCAGAGGATGCTTAATATGTGGCCACAGCTTGCAGTTAATATTAATTTAGATTTGCTTTTTATTTCTACATGTATCACAAATTATCTATAACTGATGAGGGTAAAATAATCCAAGAACGTTTTCCCAATTTATCGGATAGGTCTTTGGCTTTCCATAGCGTTAGGTTGGGGCTCGAATAGGATGTAAAATTAATATTGCATTTCTTTTGGCGACATTTCACATTAAAATTAAACATTTACTTAATTTCAAAGATGATGTGATAACACACGCATTTATAAATTACAAAGATTTTATTGAAGATTAATCGTAAAAATTGTGATAATAATAATAATTGCTTCATATCACCCAGTTTGCCTGGACACAATCGAATTCCGTTCCCGTTTCTACGATTTTTCGTCATATTTGTAGATTCAAAATGTTTTATTGCAGTGTTCTGTATCACAAAGTTCATACTATATTATTTGATTTGGGCTCTAAACACGTTCCACATTATCCGGTTGAACTCCTACTAAAGACAATTTGGTGAACGGGGCCAAAGTTAAAAGCTAAAATGTTGTCAAGAGGTGGATTTGATTTACGAAAGCCTTTAAAATGGGGACGGAACGATCAATATAACGTTGGGTTTTTCTTTTGGGCTAACAAAATTGAGTAAATCAGAAGTTGGCGGAAAATACACAACAATATAGCTACTTGACGACTTGTCTACAATTTGTTTATAATTTTTTTCAACCTATTTAAGTTCAGACTCTTATGCTTGGTCACAAGATTTATACTTTAGGGGGCCCATATTGGTTGGCGTCGAACGTGCCTATTCATGCTTGCCTATTTATAAATGTACAACTTTATGGGAATTGCGATTTGAGTGAGTGTAATCTACATATTTCGTACATGGAACAGCTACAATCCGTGTCTGATAATATCCCCTTGTTATACAGAGTATTCTACAGCAAATAAACGTGAAACGAAAATTCGAAGCACCATTAAGCTACGCCTATCTACAGTACTTGAAATCTAATATAATTCCAATTGCGCGTCCTCTATTTACATTGGTTAGATGGAAAGGAAAGTCCTTCTCCTTAGCGTATCATATGTAGCTTCCAGCGGAGCACAAAGTAGGCAATAATACGCAGTGCGAAAAAGATTCCTATCAGAGCTACCGCATCGACCCAGAAACGTGCATCCTCCATTGACATCCACTCGAGAAACTTCTTGGGAACGCGATGGTGACAGTATATCTCGTTGCAATGCAATTTGGCGCGATCCATGCCGTAAATGGAAACCATGGCGCCTACAAAGCGAATAAATTATTAGTCGACTTCATAATTAAAATGTTAAGTTGGAACTTACCCTCAAAGCCGTAACGCACGTAGCTAACATACGTGACCCACTGTAAATAGGCCGGTATAGTGTCAAAGTTGACAAAGAAGCCCGAGAACAGAATGGTTGGTATCGTCGTGACGGGTCCAAGAAAAACACCCGACTCGACATTCATTCCGGCACCAATGAGGAGTCCCAGAGACTGAGCCACGAGAGAGTTAAGCACGCAGATGAACACAAACATCGAGATGCGTTCCAGTTCCATCGGCTGAGAGGTTAGATAGTAGACAACCAGCACAAAAACGCTGGAGAAGACAATCTGCAGAGCAAGATGTGCGTTAATATTTGCAAGTTAGATACCGAACCAAGTTCTTACCTGAAAGGGAATGTCGGCGATGGTCTTGGCAAAGTAGAACGCCTTGAGTGAGTACCAATAGTTTAGATGTTCCCGCACGAACACGGACATCTCTGTGGGAACTGTATGGGATTCAAATCTTGTTGTATACTTTTTAAATTCAATTTTAAAAGTCAGCCCTTACATGTTAGAATGGTGGGCATCATGGCCGTGAACGTGGTGAACAGGGAGACAAAGAAGATGCAGCCCGCATTGCTCATAATCTTGCTGGCCTCGTTCCCCACGTCGTAGTAGATCATCCCGATGATCGCACCCACAATAATATGCGAGGCCAGCCTCATATGGGTCAGCATACGATCCCTCATAATTGTCCGAAACGAACGTTTTAGCAGTATCCAAAACTGCGTCCAGCCGCTGGTGGGGAAGCCTGTCTTGTTGGGCAGCGTGACGACACTTTCGTGTGAGTCCAGCAACGAGGTCATGCAGCCGACTACGGCATTTGTGCCACCTGATACGGCATTCTGGCTTTGGCCACCTTTCGACGAACTGAAGCTGCAGCTGTCCTCGTTCGTCGTGGGCATGTTAACAGCACTGCATTCGGAGTTCTGTGATTGCTGTGCCTCCAGCTTCGGTGGTTTCAGCTCAGCTAGCTCGTCCGCTTCCGCGTCCGCATAGCTTATGGGTTCCAGTGTAATTGGCGACTTTTCATCCTCCAGTCGGATCGTCGCAACAGCCGTCGACGAGGCCGTGGTGTTGGCGTTGCAATTGTCTAAGCCGCTGCCACTGCCCTTGATAATGTCGTTGGCTATGCCCTTGGCGTTGGCCAGATTGAGTCCGTAGTCCTTGTGCATGTACTTCTTGCACGTCCCGCTTTTGACGGCCTCGACCAGCTTGGGTACTGCCTCGCCGTACTCTCCGGAAGCGACCTCGAGCACATAGTCAGCGGGATTGTGGTACGAGGGGCATTCATAGCCGAGGGATGAAAGGTATGGCACCAGGCCATGCACGCGACCTTCGTACACGCACTGACCCTGGGCCAGCAGATAGAGATGATCGAATTTCTCAAAGAGACGCGCCGACGGCTGGTGAATGGTGCAGACGATGGTGCGACCTCCACGCGCCAGCGATTTCAGCAGGGAAATCAACTGAAAGCAGGTGGAGCTGTCCAGGCCGGAGGTTGGCTCGTCGAAGAACATGACCGGCGGATTGTTTACCAGCTCTAGGGCTATGGACAAGCGTTTCCGCTGGCCGCCCGAAAGATTACAGGTAAACGTGTCGGCCGATTCCTTTAGTCCAATGGTGTCCAGTATTTCCTCGACAACGACGCACTTGGCGTACTTGATCATGTTCTTGCCAAGCTTAAGATTGGCGGCCACCATCATGGCCTCGCGCACGGTCAGGTTGGCAATGAGGACATCGTCTTGCATTATGTAACAGGAAAGCTTACGGAACCGCCGAAGATTTCGCTCCTTGCTGTTGATCAGCACCGATCCGCTTAGCTGAGAGGTTCTGCAAGGAAAAAAAAATGATTAACCCGCAAGTTGATTTTAAGCAGAATCATGAAACTTACTTGTAGCCAGCCAGGATGTTCATCAGTGTGCTTTTGCCCGCTCCGGAGGGTCCCATTATGGCCGTTATCTGTCCATTGCGAAACTTGCCCGAAACGCTCTTCAGGATGGTCTTAAAACCACGTATATGTCCCTCTGCCACCGAGTAGGAGATATCACAGAACTCGATGTCCACGGGCGGACGCTGCGGCAGATGCGACAGCGAGATAGTGCCCTTCTTCTGCCCGTTCGGGCTGTTGCTGTGGTTTTGTATTTTGGGCGCCAGCCCGTAACTGTTGTGGCTGTTCGCGTTGATCCGGCCATTGCACAAGTTGTTCTGGGAGCTGTAAAGAAGTCGTTGGACTATTAAATAACTTGCTAAGCGGCAGGCAATTAACTAGGAGAGTAGCCTACTTGACCACGACTGGCTTCTGCCAGCATGGAGCACCGTCTTCGGGCCGCTGCAGCGCGCTCACACACCCGTTCTTCGTCAGCTTTGTCTGGACAAAGGACAGCGAACGCCTGCACCTGGCCACATCCGTGTAGGCCTCCATGTAGGCGGATCGCCTGCATGGCAAATGCTGCACAGTTGCCTCGAAGCTGGTGTTCTGAATGCCATCTGCCACTTGGACGGGATGTAGCTGCGCATTGCTGTCCGGGCTGCTGCTGCAGTTGATTAATGTCAGCTCCAAGCTGTTTGGCATGCTTGCTTATTTTTCTTTTTTTATTTTACTCTACACTATCAGCTGTCATCTGGCGGGGCATCATGAATTACGCTTTTACATTTATCAATAGCCAGTCGACGGGCCAAATAACCAATTGCCAATAGTCAATAGTC